AGTAGAGTCTGTACTGCATGCCAGCCCTCTTCATTCCTACTGACCTGTGAATGGGGGCATTGGGCTTCCTACATCTGGGCAAATGGAAAGGAAAAACTGCTGTTTGATACATTCTAGCAACTGCTGCCTTTCCCCCATGTGACAAAGATAAGCAGCATCCATACAACTTCCATACTGCTTCCTTTTTGTTCTGCGGAGCTATCCGCACTTGCTTGTATTGCAAGGGATTGAAGTAAACTGAGTGATATGGAAGGGACAAGGGATTACGGTCCCTCACTCCATCACCACTGCCTACACTGTGGTGTGTACTTCACAGTCTGTGAACACAGAGTCTTGCATCAATGTTATGGCCAATATCCAGCTTTATGTATCGGTCTGTGTTAAAGCACAGTATGAGCTTTTGTTTGGATGTGAACCTTCCTGCTTTGCTCTGAGGGTTCAAGGAAGATCACTTAAGTGCTGATTGTTCTTCAGTGCCCTCCCAACAATTTAGGCTGGAGAAGTTCCCAAGTTAGCAGAGCTGACCGAAAGGGAATTTCAGTACTGAGAAGTATGGGAAGTGCAGCTACAGCTATACACACCAAATGTGTGCAGTGAAAACATGAATTTGTGGGTCAGGTTCTGATGTGGCTACATGCAAATGGCAAAAGACCAAGACTTGATTGCTGAGACAGTTGCTCGGATTCTCTGTAATGAACACTGTTCCTTCGGTTGATTCCAATTTCCAAATTCTTATGACTGAAGCATTTGAAAAAGAATACCATAAATGGCACTGTGTATGTTTTCAGATACACGACCACCTATAATAAAACTGGTGACACTTCTAGTCTTAGTAAATACTTCTAATAATGCGAGACATGAAAAGCAAATAATACTGACCTGGAAATAATAGCAAATCAAGATGCAAATCTTGATTTGCAAATCTTTTGCGAATCTTTTGTTCCTGAAAAGATATATTGATTGAGTTCCTTTTTACTGTGCGATCGATGCAGCATTAATTGGATACCAGAGATTCTGAGCATCTTTGGCATCCGAGCCAAGAATATTGCTAGATTATTTGTCATGGTAATTTAATTAGGAAAAAAAATGAATCCAGGGAATTCCAAGCATAGTTCAGAAGCAAGGACACAAATCTCCTTTTAATTCTAATCTGGGCAATTTCTCCTATGATGTCTTTGAAAGCTGATATAGAGCAGTCTAAATGATGGTTTAGGTGGAATTTTAAATGGCTGTTAGCCACTCTGATTCAGAGGTCAGTCTTACTGTTATTTTGATATCAGACTGCAACTCAGCTCTCTTAACCATGCCAGAGTCTTGAGAGCTGCTTTCACAAAGGTGGAAAATAGGGGATATTTGAAGAGTTTGTTTCAAAGATCTAGATCCTAGAGCCATACCTGTGCCACTGAGCATTTACAAAGGAAGAGTTTTGATCTTTTTCTTGTTGGTCTGATTTTACATTTTGGCAGGAGCTTCATAACTTATGATATTTCCATAGTTTTTGTGATTGACCATGATGCCTTTATTAAGAGGGAGGACTAAAAGTACTTTATGGGTGTCCTGTTTTAAAACTGTCAGAAGAGGTTCTGTGTAACGTGGACAGATGGCTGCAGAGAAACTGCCTGCAGTGGTCAAAGCTGCAGAGAGATAGATAGCTGGCTATGACCACCTATGAAAGTCTAGAAAAGTATTACCCATTGGGATCTCTCCCTGATGACCTAATGGCACCCAGCACTTAGTCAGCCTGCGAGTACCTGCATAAGACACAACTTGGGTGTATATAATGACCTACGTATTTCCAGAAAAGATGAGCTGAGAGAGCTGGGGTTATTCAGCCTGGAGAAGAGAAGACTTCAGAGAGACCTCATTGTGGCCTTTGAATATTTTAGGGCGCTTACAAAAAGGAGGGTGAGGGACTTGTTTTTGTATTGGCAGATAGCAACAGGACAAGGGGCAATGGTTTTAAACCATTCAAAGAGGGCAGGTTTAGATTAGATGTTAGGAAGAAACCGTTCACTCAGAGGGTGGTGAAGCACAGGTTGCCCAGGGAAGTTGTGGATGCCCCATCCCTATCAGTCTTTGAGGCCAGGCTGGATGGGCTCCTGAGCAACCAGATCTAATGCATGGAATCCCTGCACATGTGAAGGTGTTGAAACAAGATGATCTTTATGATCCCTTACGACCCAAACCATTTTATGGTTCTATAATGACAGTGAGATTACATAATTAATAGAGCATGACATACTCTATTTCCAAACTATCTTAACGCCTATGTTTGATAAAGGAAGTCTGTTGGTTTAACTTCTTTATTATTCTCTTATACCTCCTCCAAGTGTCCTTTTGGAATGGTGACATTTCAAGGTTGCCTTGATCCTTCTCTAGATTATTTTTGTTGTTGTTTGTTTTGTTTTAATTCACTATGGTATAGCCACAGGCACCTGCTGAAGCTGCTAAGGAAGAATTGTTCCCTCCTATCCATTTATATCCAGGCTTACTTCAAAAAAGGTTCTATGAGAAGTACTCCTATTGTTTTTCTTCAGTGCAATAGCTTTTCTAATATGTCCATGGTGTTCAAGGCTTTTTCTTCATATAGCAGGGTTAATTACAGATAGAAAATACTTGTACTGTCTTAATGACATGGCTTTCTAGTAGTAGATTTAAGGGGTAAATGTGGTACCCTCTTGCTGGTGTCTGTCTGGCTTGTTTGCATTTCCTCAAAACTTCATTGTTCCCAATATCTGATATATTAGTGATCTCTATATATGCAAGGAACAGAGTGTGAAACCTTATCTTTGTGGCAGTCAGTGGCGACATTACTGTTCATTAGAGTGAAGCAACAATTTCACCTATCATATGTAAGAAGAAGGAGATGTCCTTCTCCTAGATAAACAGCATTTCTAGAACCAGTGATTTGTATTGTGACCCTTGTGGTAGTTGGTAGTTTTATGAAAGACACTGAATGACTGAAATCTATCACTTGAGTGAGAGTAATATCATTTGTGTCTGTCATTCTTCTAGAATTTTGCCCTGTTGCAAACAGAATCTTGAAGACGTAACAGACGTGCACCTTAGATGTTCAGCGAGCAAATAACAATTGTATTTCTTTTTTTTTTCCTAATCTTCTCAACTGGTGCTTATTTTTTCTGAATGCATTGAATTTTTACTACTGGCTTGCGATAATTGCAGCTTCTGGTTATGGATCTCCAAAGTGTAACTACTTTGCAGCAAAGGAGGAATTCCAGCAGCCCTATAACTATGGAAAGTATTATCACCCTCCATTACATGGAGACCTCTGAGCTACACAGAGATTAGTTCTACAAGCAAGCTTGGATAAGGCATCCACAATATTAGTGTTAACTTTCTTTTCTTCAAATTCATCAGTTGTTCATTGTGTTGTTATCATAGGAGTTGTGTACTTCTTCTTATTAAGAACAGATATGTGTAGTTATCCCTCTGCTATTTATAATATATGTAAGCACTGACAGAAGTAATATTGTAAACACATATGTTTGTCAGAAGCTTGGCATCTCCAAAGTGGATTTTGAAAGTACTTCAGCCTGACACTACTAAATGCAGGTCAGAATCTGATCTCAAATCCTCCCACTGTTCTGTCAGCACATGGGCCTTCTTCCCCATCCTCCAGCCTGGTATCAGTTTCTTCTTTGGCACTGTTAGCCAAACTGTAGCAGCCAGGTTTGCATGAAATAAGGTAATGCAGCACTTGACGTTGCATTAGAAAGCCAGTTCAGTGTGTAGAATGCTACGTGACCTTTGCAACGATCATGTAATTTGATGATTTTACTCACCCACACTTCCACAGCTTATAAAAGTAGATTCATGTTTACGGTCTACACAGGCATTCTTCATATTCAGGTCGTAATGACTGACATGAATGGCTAAGCAGTTCTAACCGTGTATCATGGGTACATTCTAGGGAGCTGCATTAGCTATGCTTTACATTTCATTTCTGGATGTGGACAATAATTGTTGACTGGGATCTCAATTGCACTAAATGCAGCAATAAAATTCTGAAGCCCTGATTCCGTGTGGTTTCTATAATTAATATTTGTTTAATTGGTATTTTTCTCAATCCTGACAGCTAGTGATAACCGAGTTTATTCGTGCACAGTACCTTTTTCAAAAGTTTCAAAATAGGGTTTTTTCCCCAGAAATTAAAACATCTGCATACAACGACACAATCAATGAATGTTTTTGTGGACTGTGTCTTGGGGAATTTCTCTCTACTACTTTTAGCTACTGCTTCTTTTTGGAAACTTAACTGCAGTAATCGTGTATCCGTGAAGCAGTTTCTTCTTCCTCTAGTTATGCAGCCAAAAATCACATAGTTTCTCACAGTTTAACATACCCCTTCACCCCCCAAAAAACCCCAGCCCAACCAGCCAAAAAGCCCAATCAAACGAACAAACAAAAAAACTCCACAACCGCCTACTAAACCCACAAAAAAATTCCTGGCTGATTTTTTTGGAATTATATTGACAGCCATTATGAGGCGAATTTATGCTTTTGCGAGAAAAAAGCTATCCTTACAAAAGTTACATATTATAAAATAGCTGTAGTGTCCTAGGATTTAATTTACTTTGTAATGCCTGTACAATATGTTTTTATACTGTAATTTCTTTCTGCAGCAAATAGAAAAAAATGCACAGCATTATTGCATGCAATCTCAATCAATTTCTCCACTGTTACATCAAGTCTTTTGTTTATCACCATTGCAGTGGATGGTGATACCTTTATCTAACAGAAGATAACACCTCCTAGGTGCTTGGGGTCCGTTAAGGACATGTGTGTGAAGACTGATTTAGGTTATGCATTGCCAAGGCTTCATTTGCAGGCTCAGCTCCTGGGGTTAGGTAATTGTTCCTTTCTTATTTTGTGGTCACTTGCACAAGGAAGACCTGCTCTTGGCAGGTGTTTCTGTATATTCTTCTCACTTTTGCTACTGTTTGAAATTTAGCTGTCATGTCTGTGTTCTGTTCTGACAGAGTGTAGACCTGGATGACCACCAGAAACCTGAGTTTAGAAGAGTTTTTAGTTCTTCCATCATTGAAAATGGGCATCGATCTTCATCATCAGGTAGGAACAGGCCATGAAATGAAGTAGCACTGCTTGTAAAATACCTGATCTTGGCAGTCATAGAGCAGGACTCACATTTTGGAAGGATTAGAATCTGCTATAGTTTCAGGATAGGTATTGTCCAGTGGCACCAGTACTTTATTTCATAACTAGGAGTTTAACTTTTATACTTTGGCTTTACTGTTAAGCATGTACTGTGGTGTTTCATAAATTGGAGGCTATTACTGCTGCATTAACTTGAGACGTGAGCGATAAGGCCTTCTATGCTGGGTGCCATTGTAGTCTTGCATCCCAAAACATCTTGCAAATCACCCATCCACTTCTGTCATCCTTCAGTGGAGGAAAGACTTAGCATCTCTGCTTTAGAGAAAGTCATACAGTGTTTCATAAAACCATAAACAAAAATGCTGCTTCCTTAACTGGGGCAGGAGATTGAGAGTGTGGGCTGTGCCGAGGAAGAGAAGCTTGCCAAATGCAAATGCTAGTATATTAATGATCTGAAGACATTGTTCCTGCTGAGATTCATGTAGAGTAAGTGTGATCACTGAAAGGATCGCTCGGGCTCTGGTTGCTTCTACTATGTAAATGGTACAATGTTTCACAGGGGATTGAGTCCAATGACCTGTAAAATAAAGTTGTTGCACGAACATTGATTTGTAGCTTTGTTACAAACTTCAAACAAATTTACTTCCCCTCTCACGTTTTTTATTCAGGTCAGGCAAAAGTCACCCGTGAACTGACCTGCTTTCAGATGTCAGAATCTTCATCCCCCGAAGCCCATGCCCCTGCAGTCATCTTACAGATGCCCCACCTTCCCGTTACTGCAGTAACCAGGACATCTGAGAAGTTTTCAGGAGAGAACATCTGTCCAACCAATACATCTTCTTGCCTGCTGGGACAAGGAAAGAGCACAAATACAATGGGAGTAAAATCTTCTAACCAGCCAGGTAAAAGAGAAAAATAACTTGCTGAAGCAGTATTCTGTTTCCTTTCTTCAACTGCTGCTATGAGTATTGTCCTGTGACCTCGTGGTAATTATGAAACCTTGCTTCTCTGGCTATATATCCCATTGTGGGACACTCCAGTTTGGAATACTGTGGGTCCTAGCTGGAGGTTTTGGCTGTAATGTCACATCTGCAGAGAATTTTTGTGCCTAACATAGTCGAGTTTTTAGTGAAGCGTATCTTACAGCACAGTTACTGAATTCAGTAAGTTACTGAATCTCTTAAACATATCCAGCTCTTTTCATGAAATTTGTGGACATTATTAGTGCTTTGGGACTGGAGGCCCTTCGAGAAGTTAGACAGATATTTGGCCAACAGGTTCCAATAGTAATTTGGAGGAAGGAATGACTGACAGCAGTCTGACACACAGACACATGTCAGAGACTGCAGAATCTTAGTTATATTGCAACTGAGTTTAAAAAAAAAAATTGCATGGAAGCCATTCATCCTTTGCTGTGACACTTACAAATTGGACTATATAAATGGGTCAGAAATTACAGAAGGAGACTGGGATGGGATTGCTAGCAAGAGTTAGAGATCATTTGCAGGTTATTCTTTCACTTTTTATCTTACTAAAACTAAGAATGTAGCAAACACTTCCTTTGTCTTTGTTTGTGCTGATACAGTGAAGGACTGGAATTCAATTACAATGAAAACAATGGATTCATCTGCCACTGGAGGTGAGTATTCCTATCTGCATGCCCTTATGCAACAAAAATTGAGGGTGATTCTGTGGCTTTTGGGGGATTCAGATCTGAGCATGTAGTTTTGACTTGTAGGTACATGGTAATACTAATATTGCTAACAAGTCTGTATGCAGACTTGTAGAATCATGAACACTTGTTCTACTTCATCAGAGTCTCAATCAGTTCAAAGTGTGGTGTACTTACCCTTATTTACACAGTGATGTACATGTGTACTGTTAGGCAACCTCTGCAGTGGAAACCATAAGCGCCAGAAAAGTGTGGCAGGCAGACAGCTTGAGCAGTGAAGATTTCAGCTGATCAAGTGAAAACTGTGGCTGCACACAAAGCAGTCGGAAAGTGGTGTGCCCACCCATGTGTATTGAAGCAAATTACTATGAGTGAGATAAAAGTAAGGAGTCTCCTTTGTAATATAAATGTGGCAAAGGATTAAATGCTTTAAAGATTTCTGATTTCAGTTGAAAGAGATGAGTTGAGCTCTCTCCAAAAGTACCTCTGATTGCTGTCACCAAGTTGTTACTGTATGCACAATATACTGGCATTTCACATTTGTCTCAAGTGTTGGTTTATTTAGCAAAATGTGTAGCCCTTCCAGAATAAGGATTACATTCCTCCTCATCTGAAAACATCTGAGATTGGCATAAATATCTGCCAATTTTTAGTGGTCACAAATTTGTCACACCTGTATGCTGGTATCTACCAGTGTGTTTTACATGAGCAATGTAGTTGATCTGGATCACTTCTATAAGAAAAGGAGAGAATTCTGCGTTTTCAGAGAGCAAGAGCGATCAGGCTGAATTGCTTCTAAGATGGCAGTCCTTTGTGTATAGAAGGAGCTTTCAAGAAATAGTTGCTGATTTATACAACAAATTTTGGCTTTGGTACGTTAAAATTGGGCAAGACACTCCACTGTTTTGCAATTATGGAACATAGCTGGAGTCCAGAGCTGAGCCCTAAGAGGCAAAGCACATAAGGTAGAACCTGAGAGGTGGAGGGAGGAAGATGCAAAGTTAATTTTAAGCCACATTTGCAACTTCGAGTCTGTTCTACTTTACAAACTAAAATGTCTTCCTGGTAGAAATTAGATCATTTAAATTATGCACTTAATTACATTAAACTCCCCTGAGCTTGTCTGCTAGAATGACTTTTGCAAGCGCCACTTTTTCCTTTAACTGAAATGTCACTGGCAGTGTGCCCTCTTCTGGGAACTGCACATGGGCCTGAAGTGATCTGACCTTCTGACTGCAGTTCTATCAAAGACATCCTCTCGGAGTCTTTTCTGGTATGCTTACGCTATCCTCGCTGCAGTGCAACAGTTTTACAAAGGAATTGAACTGCTGGGGAAAATCCTCCCCCAGCTTGTTAGCTCATATGGAAGTCAGAGGCCTGCAGTTTTACAGTGTGGTGAGTAAAAATTGATGTGTGTCTATCCATCAGGAAAGCACATGGGGAAAATTTATTTTTGAAAGCACATGAGGAAAGTTTCTAAGATGCACTAATGCATCTTTTCTGGTTTTATATAGAGAATGCTACTTCTGTCACCAAGCCTGCCTCAACTATGAACTATGGGCTGCGTAGTGGAGCCAAAACTGGTGAAAGGTATGCATTTTTTGTGACATTTTGTTAGGCCATGTGGTCAATGTAGTCTCAAGGGACAGGTGTTCTGCTGACTTGGAAAATAGATGAGTCCCAGATGCTGTTTTAAGCACTGGATGTGTAATTGTACATTAATCTACTTGCCCCATAATCTCTTACATTAACATAGGTAGTTCATTTAATGTATGTATGTACATACATTAAATTACATTAATGTACATTATGTATGTACTGTGTCCATCAACATGAAAATGGGCATATTCCTCTTAACTACACTTCTACTTTCAGGGAATAACCAATCAATGACTACTGGAATTATCGCACTATCTGTACTAAAACCATCCTAGTGATGTGCTGTACGTAGTAATTTTCATTCAACACAGCAGTCCTTATATTCATACCTTGAATGTTCTCAGGTGAAATGTACCAGGTTATTTATTGATCGTACTTCTCATGGGAAATCAGCAACCTGCTGTATATATACTATATGTCTAGTTTGAGGATCACTCATTCCCCCTAAATCCCTTGGATGACTTGCTCTTTTGTACCTCTGATTCCTGTATCAGGGCCATATCCTGGTTAATCCTCACACCTTTCTTTTCACGAGGCATCTAATAGGCTGAACATCAACATCACACCTGTGATTACAGCTTTGGATAGTCTTAGCACATTTGGCTCTTTTTTTTTTTTTGTGGGGAGCGCTTCTTCAGGCTGCCCCACCAGTGCACCAAAGAACAAATGAGTCACTGGTGCTATATTTTAAGCCTGTTAAAGGCTGTGAGCTTTCCTCTGAGCTAAGTGGAACAGAGATGAGAAAGGACAAAATTTTACAGAGCACTTTCAAGTAGACCTAACTGTGGATTTCCACGTTGTTTTAGTCTTAATCAGTAAGATTATCGGTGCTTGATAGTGGTGGATTTTTGTTGGGAGGAGGAAGCTGTCAGGTCCTTTGAAAACATAACTATAAATATACTCATCTGTGTTGAAATTAGTAGTTTGGTCTTATTTTCCAAAAATAAGATGATTACCACCAAATATCCTTACTTTGTCTAGCCTAGAGTTTAATTTGTAGATAAATGTCTTGCTGAGAGCTACTACGCATTCATTATTAACTGAAGAGTTGCAGTTGCTTAGTAGAGGATTACATATCACAATTACTCCTGGCATATCCAGACAACTTTAGCATGCAAAATATCCATCAAGAAAAAAATTAGAGATAAGAAAGTTTAAATCCCTTAAATTAGGCTTGTGTCTGCCTTGAAAACAATCCCAAATTAGGCCTTACATTTCTTCCGAGGTAGTTCCAACATCAGCACTTCAGTATTAGAGTCATGATACGCTGAGCACCCTAGAGAACTTGGTGTCATACCCGACCTCCATCTGTACCAGAAATTAACGCGTGACACTGTTGTCATTGTTCTTTGCCTGTTTCCCTATCTCTGTGATAAGGAATAATTCCAAATGCAATGTTTGGCTTGCTTCATTAATGCCAGTGAAGCAGTATATGGCTCAACCAAACACAAATTAGAATGTAATCCTGTATTTCTCAATCACATATACAGCTTGCAGTCAGTAAAGCAACACTGTCAGGAGATCAGAATTCTGTGCACTAGAAGTAAAAATTTCAAAAGTACTTTCTGACTTCAAGTTTCATTTTAAAAATGTCACAGCCTCCAAGAAGCCTTAAGTTGGAAATCAATGGGATTTAGTGCTCCTGTCTGGCCACATCTTTATTTTTGTCTTCTGTTTTTTCTTGAAGGTTTTGAATTGTTGTTCTGCTCAGTGCTACAAAGTGCTTGTGGCTTGTCCAGCTGTGTCTTCTTTGTAACAGTACCTTAGGGGCTTCAATACTTAAGTGCTGTTGTGTGTCATAATAATTTCACTTTTATTAACATAGCTTTTGACTCATGCAGGTTCTCTTGAAATAGATCTTTTGGAAGGTTTAGAGACACCAGTTGAACCTTTATGCTGGCTCTTGTCACTGCAGAGAGTTACTTTTTTGTTTACCACGTACTTTTCACGTTATCTTTCTCCAGTGCCATTGACAGTTACTGTGAGGTGACCCCCAGCTCTCAATCACCTCCTCCTACTGTGCATCGCCAAGTTGAAAGGAGGCGAGAGTTGGTGCGGTCTCAGACACTCCCACGGACTGCAGGAACGCAGGCCAGGAAAGCGCTTTTTGAGAAACTTGAACGTGATGATGGAAAGTACGTCTCAGTCCTTGTCTCCAGAACGGTTTGTTAATGGGAAACTAATTTGTCAGTTATTACCAGCAGAGTACAGCTGGGTGGGAGAACTCTCTCTGTGTAGGATTTGGAGCTAAGGGACAATATAAGGTCTCTAAAGTTTCACTGACTTTACAGACCAAGCCTTGGAAATTCACAGCTACAGATTCCTCTGACTTTGAAGTTGTTCAGCTGAAGCAGCAGGTGCCTTTTATGAGGGAAGAGTTCTGTGAAAGCTGCCTTCTCCATCGTTATAGGAGACTGCAAATATAGTGACTTTCTGTGTTGCCATTCCTCGAGGATCAAAATATGGACAGTTCTTGATGGGAGTATCATTTAAATAAAAGAGGGCCTGGAATTGGAATTATGGCTTTCGTTTAATAAAAATTACATTTCTCTTGCAGGACCAACAAGTTGAGATTTCAGCAATATGTTTCTTAAATATCACCTGGGCAGGGGCTGACCTGAGCAAAGTTGTATAAATGTTCCTGACACGTAGGTTTAAGTTTTTCTAGAATGTAATTTAATTTGGTCTCTGTTAATTTTCCAGAGGAAAAGGAGAATCCAGAGCTAAGCTGAAGAGGTCGCTGAGTTTTGGGGTTGCCAGCGCTAGCAGCATTAAACAAATTCTGTTAGACTGGTGTCGCTCAAAAACCATAGGATACAAGGTAAAGACATGCTAGTATTTTCATCTCGTTCTTTTTTGTTTCAAGAGAATTTGCCAAATTCTGTACTCAAAGAGTGAATGTAAAATATGCTAGAGAATGAGTTAATTCCTCAATGTCATCAATTTTTGTGTGGGTAACGTGAACACGGTTTGTGTAGGCGGCACTTCAAGACTGTCAGTGACTGCATGAATGAGATTCTGTATGTCTATTAAAGTAATGCATTAGTGTTTTTCTAAAAGCTTTTTGTGCTTATGGATATAAATTTCAGTATATGCTCAAACTTTTTTTTTCTTAGTTGCAGGCTGTAATTTTTTATTCACATTATACATGACAAGTTCTGAATACATGAAGACTATGGCCATTTTGCTACATGCAGACCCAAGTACTCTGTTAGTATTCAAATGAATTTGTAGTAAATGGTTGAGTTTGAATCACATTGTGAGTAAATTTTTGTGAGGTAGCATCAGTGTCACTAAAAGAATACAGCGGTTGAGATTTTATTTGTTTTACCTGGCCTTAAACTGCAACTGTCAAAGAAATACAGATTTTTTTTTCCCCCTAGGGTTTTCTTTGTGTGTTTAGTATGTTTTTCAATGTTACTAAATGTGCATAATTATTGCTGAACTGTACATTATAGTTTAAATAAGCAGAACTAATTAAAATTATTGTTAATTGCTTACTAGAAAAGCTGGGGCTTGAATTTTATATGATGGGAAAGCAGCATGAGACAAAAGCACAAATATATTTCTTTTCACTGTGGCATTTGAAAGTAACAGTAAGAATTTTTTTTGAGAATCAAGTTGTGCAGTAGATATGATTTTTCCTATATTTCTACCTATCTGTGTGTAAACAGATATTGAATTGGGCAAAGCAAGCAAGCATAGGCTTTATCTAGTGTTTTTCTCAAAATGAACTGTTCTTCAATTTTAAATCCTCCATAGCGTGATTATGGTTATATATAAGCAGTATCCTTAGTTTCCACAGATACTGAGCTGGTGCATTGGGCCTGCCCCAGTGCTCACTGGTGTTGATAAGATTCTTCACAGTATTTTCAGTGGGCTTTGGATGAGGGACCTTGACTAGGCGTCTGCTTTGGATCTGAGTATTTCAGGCAAGGAGCTTTTATTGCTGAGTGTGCAATTTTTTTCCCCAGGATGTCAACAATGAAATGGACATACAAAGATGGGAAGAAAAAAATAAAGTCTATGCTCTTGCTTGTGGGAAAGAATGATAGAAAACTGCATTGAACAAAAGCAGCTGCTCTTATTTGTTCCCCTGTACTGCATTAATATGTGTATTTTTTTCATCATGACAGCACATTGATCTCCAGAACTTCTCCTCAAGCTGGAACGATGGGATGGCATTCTGTGCTCTTGTACATTCTTTCTTTCCTGAAGCTTTTGATTATAATAAGCTTGACCCAGCTAATCGCAAGCAGAACTTTGAGCTGGCCTTCACAACGGCTGAGTGAGTACATTAGCGCTCTGTGAAGTGCTTCCAGTTCAAGTCTAATGCACCTGAGCAGCAGTGAAGAGTTTCATTATTATTCTTTTTGACTCTGTATTGATGCCTTGGAAGGCTACCTAGAACAGAGGCTAGACAGTGTTAAAGGAATAAAGTAGGTGTTTAGTAAAAAGGCCTTCAAAGGATACACCTTGGGCAGTACAAGAGCCTGGGCGAGGCTACACCCGAGATGGACGATGGATCACACGTTTTCACACTTTTGTAAGTTTTGGTCCATTTACCTATAGGAGTTAATTCATATTATGAAGCTCCATCCTCCGAGATTGCTCTCCTCAATTTGCTGCTGTTTATACTTTCTGGACCTGAAGCTGCAACGGTGTCCTTGGTTCTCAGGCTGGGAAAGGATTGTTTTGTCTGACTAAATTGTGAAGAGAACTTGCTAACACTTTATATGGAGTTCTGACTTATATACTGATGCAGTACAGAATCTGGATAATATGAAAGCTAAAACTTAAAGCATCAGTATTACTAGCTTGCATGTATCATGCCAAAAAAGACAATAAAGCTCTGCAGAAAAACACATAGAACATGTGAGAGATTTCACCTCTGACTGTACCTTGTTTTGCTTGAAAAAGAACAAAGGTTGAATTCAGTGTAAGTACAGATCAAGTCTGTGAACTTCTCAGTATCTCAACCAGGTAACTGCATTTCTGAAAACAGGCAGAGTTAATACCCTCAGTCACATTATCCAGATTCTTTTTTATGCTGTAAAGCAGGTAATTGAATGCTAACTTATTTGTTAAAGTCATTATGAATGTGAACCTGATAGTCAGAGATAGTAACATTTTTGAGCTTGTATCAACACGATTCTTATGGTAAGACCACTCCATGTGGTATGCAGCTGGGTTTGGTACACTTTTTCCAAATGATAACAGGCGGTAGGAACACATGGCTAGTGAGGTAACTTAAAGAACTGAATTTGCCATTGACTATTCAGAAAAAACCTTTCAAATTTCGTGACATAATGTTGTTTCCCCTTATTGCAGCCTAAAGCAAAGGAATGAATTTGGAAAATACAAGTATTTTTATAAGTACACATATATGTATGTATAAAAAAAATTTGTTGCTTGTCAGTGAATTGAAGGAGATTCTGTGATACTTTTAGGTGATTGATCTCTAAAAATGATCTACAACTCTAAAAGGAAAGCTGCAGTGTTCTTCTACCTCAGTTTATGTAAACAGTTAGTTTAGGGGAGAACAAAAGAAACCACAACACAACACTAAGAAACATTAGGTGAGAGAAAATTACAGAAATTACTATTCATAGCTATGATTGCCTTTAAACTGATTTATTTGAATGCCAGTGAAGGCTATTTTCTCAATTATTGCTATTCACCCCAGTACTAGCTGTGCTGATAAAATTGATTCCTGCTCTTGTGATTTTTCATCTGAAGCCTCTGCAGATCGTTCCTTTCTGCTGGTCCAGATCACTCACATCTTGAAGATATGGTGGTGGTGGAGAACAAACAATTCACAGCCACATGGACTTTCATCAGCACATCTCATCTCCTCCTGAGTTTTTCCATTCTTTTGGAACTCCCTATATATTAACCAAAAACTGAGACATGGGCAGAGTAGTATGAGATTGGGATACATGCTACAGAGGAATGTGGAATGATAGTGAAGAAAGCACCACCCCTCCAGGGCTTAAGACCAGATCCCACTATAAAGCAAGAGACAGAAAGAATAGGAATATTCCATGGTCATAAAAAGAACAGTGTCCAGCCTGACCCTGCTCAATTCATTGTGAAACGAAATGCTGCCGATAAACCTCAGGATTTCATAAGGGTTTCAATGGTGCTCAAATCACAGCATCAGATGAATCCTGGAAGCAGTTATGTAACTCTTGATTTGCTGTATCTGTTTTATTGTTAATACAGGAAAATGGCTCACTGTGACCGTCTGATAGAAGTGGAAGACATGATGGTGATGGGTCACAAGCCAGATCCCATGTGCGTCTTCACCTATGTCCAGTCTCTGTACAGTCATCTACGACATTTTGAATAAAACCATCGACACCTCTCCAGCCAGAAGGGTCAAGTACAGCATGCTAACAGGAAGACTGACATTTTGCAAATGGAACACAGTATTATTTCTTGCTTTGTACTGTCCCTTTGCTTACATTCAGCTGTGTAGCTGGCTGACTGAAGTATTGCTGAGCAGTGCCCTGAAGTGTTGATCACATCACCGTGTCAGTAATACGGAAATAGGCTTGAAAAAGACAAAAAGACATTGTTAAAGGCAAATATTGTCATTTTGGTGCTAGTAGTAGATTGGATTTTTATGTTTAAAGATCACAGGAAGCAAATGTACTTCTCCTGTATGTAAGGCTGGGGACAATTTTATGCAGTGATTCTGCTATGAAGGTGTTCCATCTTAAAAAGCAGGTAAAACTCTAGAAGATAGCACCTTCAGTTTCACTTCTCTATTGAGCATAGTACAAAAGAAATAGCAGATGGACAAGGAAAATTCTGTTTAGCAAATAATAACTTAGAGTGCTCAGCCACTAGGGCAATAATGCCTCTCCTCCAACCCTACCCCTCCACTCTAGCATACACACACACTGAGATCAAACAGGCATTGGTTTGTTCTCTTAAAGCATAAAGAGAGCATAACCTTTTGTCTGATGAGTGTGGTGACAGATTACTACATTACATAATGGCATTTGTCTGTAATGGTCAAATCTAATAGTATATGCCGAGAGGGTTGCTAATGCCTCTACTGGCAGTCCTGGGGATTAATTTCTTGATAAGACTAGCAACAGTTGGGACTGTTCTTTGTCTGAGATTGTGTGTTTGCGTGGTTTAGGACTGCAGGAAAGGTAGAAGCTAGCAAGGTACAAAATTCTTTGAACAGTTATAATAGAAACAAGCCTATAATGTGCTTTTACCTGGATTTATGGGGTGAGCAGCTCTTCAGTGTGGACAAGAGTGAACTCTTTACAACTTGTTCAGTACAAATGCTGATTCTTTGGCAGATGAACAATACACAACTTGTTCAGTACAAATGCTGATTCTTTGGCAGATGAACAATACACAAAAATATATATGAAAGACGTGGGAGTTTTGAAATAGTTTCAAAAACTTTGCACTAGTTTCATTTTTCAGTTAAATTAATATTAAAACCACAGTACAGTTAGATTATTCCAGATTAATGGACTAAAAAAAGCCTTCTAAAATTATTTCTTCCCTACGAACAGGCTCATAGAAAGAAAAAACTGAAAGCCACAAATCATCTGCTCATGCTAGAGAATGTTTTTCAACCTGCCCTTGTGCATTTTGTAGATATTTAGAAAAATTAATTTGGTTCTGTATTGATGACAATTTATAATAAAACATATCAAGCATTCTTCAGATTTATTGCATCTTTTTAGAATAATGTGACAGATAACCAAGTAAAATCAGTGAAAAGACAGAGCTTTTACTTAAAAGATTTTTGTTCCAGTCATGATTCTGTGTGCTCTGAATTTCAGTTTAAAAAGTACGTAAGTTCAACTGCATTTGAAACATGATTTTAGTTCAGTCTCCCTTTCTAGTCTAGTTTACTTAAAAACCATGAATGAAGCAACTGCTTTGTTAGTATATAAATGCCATTGCCTTCAGTTTTTTACTTTGTCTTGAATGATTATAATTCTGAGGTATAAGTGTGAGCCTGTAGCTCTACCGTATGCACTGTAAGGATAAACACATTGTACTTATGTTTTGGGGGAGTTTTGAGGAGCAATCTGCCCAAAACTTGCACACACAATACACCTATTTACATTCTTACAGTAGAATACTTTTTATTGAGTAGCAGAGGAAAGGTCCATCATAACTACAACAAGAGGGGCAATACTGGCTTAATACATCGCATTCCTTCACAGTCCGAGGTCATAGATGATATAACTGTGTGATATGAGTGCTGAAGACGCAGGTAAGTGCTTGGCCAATTTAGCCCTAATAGCATATAATTTTATAAAGGGACTTTTAGACTGTAAAATGATTGCAAATTCAACAGGGTGAATCTACATACTTCCTGTAATTTTGTTTTTGCATCTACCCACAAGGTATTTGTACAGGTTTTCTAAAGTCTTCCTGCTTCAGAGAGGTGATTGTAAAGATATCTGGGACTTACCAACCACCTGTTTGCAGGAAAGTGTAAGACTGTAAGCTGAGTTGATCTTTTGATGGTTTGTGTGAAAGGGTTAGGGAGATAGTGCAGTGCTATGACATACTTTTAAAAAAACTTACAGCTTTGTGCATTAAGAGGTCTGCTCTATATGAATGACCTCAACTATTTGTTATGATTAAATTGAAATTAAAGTATATAATGTATGCCCCCAATTGATTTTTCAGTATTTTTATTTTTAAATAAATGCAGAGCATGTGTGTATATATGACAGTGTGTTTAGCATGAATGGTAAAAGAACAATCTATTAAGTTGGCATAGTATATATTTTACAGAAATTGACTGTTTCTTAACTTTTCTAATGTTTATTATATCTAAAAGTAAATCTATAGTTGTTTATTGACAACTTGATAATACTTTTAAAGGCTAAATCAGTTTGTTCTGTGCAATATTTTCAAGATAATGTCAGCAGAAACATCATCTACTTTTTAAGACTAAGCTTCCCATAGCAGCAGTCTTTCTCTTTTCAAGTGTAGTAACTGGATGAATGTCTTTCATCACTTCTCTGTGTGATATTTCCAATAAAGTGTTTAATCTAAAACTATGCTCAAACCCATACTTACATGTATTTTAAATGTAAGTAATTATGTTTAAAACTATCCCAAAGGTTCAACCCTGTGTCATTAATTTAAACCCAGCCTGGCTTACAGAGGTAAAGAGTCCAAAATAACAGATGGGATTGCCTTGTGTAAAGTGCATTTAAAAGCCATTTTTGGTTATGCTAAAATGCATCTATGTCTACATAAAGCCTCAGAGCAGTTAACATAGAACCACAGAGTATTCTGAGCTGGAAGGGACCCACAAGGATAATCAAGTCCAACTCCTAAGTCAATGGCCCATATGGGGATGAAACTCACAACCTTGGTGCAGTTATAGCGCAAACATACTGAGCTAATAGTTTGGGTTAGCTGTTTGTATCCACCCCCTGACTTGCATCTGAACGAAACCCTTGGACAATACAGCTAGGGGCTTTTTGTCCTGCTGCCTTCACCTGGAGTAAACTGTTCCTTGTGGAACCTCAGGACAGAGAACCTCCTCATTTCTCCTCTACCTGGTCCTTGTCATGGCTTGTGTCTGGCACCTTAGAGCAAGTGGCTCTAAAGGTTCTTCCTCTGGTAAATCCCCATACAGGCAGTTCCCCTACTCCTGGCATGGCACCAGAGTTCTAAGAGCTAGCCCTGGGTTGCAGCAGCCACTCCACCTTACATCTAGTCTAAATCAACCTTTTTTCGTTTTAAACTGTTAAGCCTTGTTCTATTGCTGCAGGCCCTAATGAAAAGTTTGTCCCCATCTTTCTTAGAACCCTCCTCTAAGTACTGAAAGGTTGCCAGAAGCTCTCTGATGAGCTTTCTGGAGGCTGAACAGTCCCAGCCCTCTCAGCCTTTCTTCATGGATTATTTTGGACACTAGTGGAATACTACAGATGTATTACGTTAGTCTGCTTTGTGATTTTAGCAACACTGAAAGAAAACTGTAAATGATGCTGCAGTGTGAGCTTAACCTAGAGAACTCTACTTCAACACAGTGGCAGCAGTTCTGATTGATTCTCTGATGAATAAGACTATCTATGGTATTTTTCATGCAACCAACAAGGAACATGGCAGCATACTTCATTTAGATCTAGTCTCATGAATGCTGGTCGGTTAGACTCCTCCGCAGAAAACGTGCGACGTTTCCAGACTGAGGACTTGGCCATTCCACAGATAGTGACCCCATTTTCTACATCCTGACAAAATTCACAATGTGAGGAACCGCTCCTCTGTGAAATCCTTTTTAGAGGCATCACAATGGAAGGTGGTAAGGGAGCTGGTGTACAGAAGAGGACTTTTTCATCTGGTCGTAACTGGGCCCTTACACGTGGCGTGGAAGGGCGATGCCGTGTCCGCGCAGCCGGCGGTGCCGGCGCTCGTTACCGCGGCGCGCGGAGGGGCGGGGCCGGCGCGCGGGGCCCGCGGTGGGACCGTCCGGTGCGCGCAGCCCCGGCGGCCGTGGAGCCGTTTTCTACCCCTGTCAGTCGGTAGAGAGAACCATCTGAGGTAAAACTAAAGCTTTCTTTTGTCGTGTAATTCATATTGCAGGATCGGTTGTAAATTTCATATTAACACTTTGAAAGGAAATTGTCTTTTACGGTAGCTGACATTAATGAACGGATTTGTGGTTTGTCGCTTTAATTTGTGGCAGTGTCGCTACAATCTGGGGTAGGACAGCATGAGATACTGGGGTTTTAGAACAAAACGGCATGAAGTCCCACTGGTCCCACAATAACGTCGTGGAGAACCACCACTGGGAGTTTCCTCGGCTTTCAAGGTGACTGAGCACTTTTTCAGAAACATGACATTCTCTCTGCTCTGCTTCTTTTTGACTAATGTTGCTTCTTTATCATTCTGTGATCTTTTGGGAGGATCTTTAGGAGAATTGATAATCAAAAAACTTTGTGCAAATTCAGGGCGCTGGTTTCACCCTCCACTAAACAAGTGTCCTCGGTATGCTTTGTTCTTTTCTTTAGTCCTTTCTGGACTTTCCCATTGCCTCATTTGGATGCTGAATTTTTTCCTTCAGCTTTTCAGGTCCAGTTTTGGTTTGTGGTTTGGTGTTTTGTTTTGTTGTGTTGTTGTGGGTTTTTTTGGTTTGGTTTGGGTTTTCTTTGTGTGTTTTTGTTTGTTTGTTTGTGGGTAGGGGTTTTTGTTTGTTTGGTTTGGGGTTTTGTTTTGTTTTTCCTAATCATCATTAGAAAAAAAAATCACCTAATCAAGCATTAGAACAGACTGCCCTGGGATGTGTGGGAATTCTCATCCCTGGATGTGTTCAGAAGGCCTGTGGATTTAGAACTTGAGGATCTAGGATGGTTTAGTGGTGAGCACAGCTGTGCTGCATTAACAGTTGGACTCAATGATCTTAGAGAACTTTTCCAACATTAATAGTTCTGTGACTACATTTCTTCTAGATTTTATCCATCTCTCCAGCCATATTCTTGAAAGGTGTTTGCTTCTCCAACCTCTGTGAGGCTATTTATCTTTTATATTTGTTCACTTTTTCTCTTGTTTTCTGTGATTGCTTGTTTAGTAATTCCATCTTTCTCCACGGGTCTCCTTTCCCTTCTCCTTCCTATTGCATAGTCCATCTTTTCCTGTCAGATCCACTTCTCTCCTCCTAAATTTCACTCACAAATTCTTCTGTTTCTTCATTCTACCACTCCAAACATGTCAGCATATTCTTCCCTACACATCACCAAATACCTGGGGAACTTTGGGCAAAAAAATATTTTTTTTTTGGTCATATCAGTGTCATTTTACAGGTAAAAAGAACAAAATATTTCTCATTCTTATAGACCTGCCTTCTCCCCTTCTTGATTTGGCAGCCAAATATGATGCTATTTCTGTTTTCAGGTTCCATATTCAAAGAACTCACCTGCATTATATCCAGAAACTTTCCACATAGCAATGGCCAGACTGTTGCAAGATCCATCTAAACTTCATCCCTCAGAATGGCACACTGCAAACAGAATGCAGCGTGCCAGTACAGAGTCCCAGAAATCCAGGTCAGAATGCATGATAGCTGAGAGTTGGAGGCTGGTGGACGAAATAGAAAAGACAACTCAAAAAACCCAAAGCGATGTCAACAAGAAATTAGGTAATCCCATGTCTTCTGCAAGGGTCAAGATGTGTTATTTGAGCTATATGTTCAAAAAGGACTTAGCAAATTAGTTGATAATGAAGAGCCATGTTTGCTGATGTAATGAAAAAAACCAAAACTATTTTGTAAAATATTTTGAGGCAGATAACAAAACACATAAAAAGCTCTCTTAACCAGAACAACCCGACACAGGTTTGCTAAACTGTTTCCACACAGCCCACAGCACTTCAGGCACTCCACTATAGAATAAGTCTATTTTTAGCCATACCTAAGATTTGAGCTGCATCCCCTTGCTCATAAAATGGGACCATATTAATAAATGTTTGTTATTTTGATTCTACAGAACAGAGACGGGACGAGATAAAATTCTGGAAGCAAGAGTTAGATAACAAGCTAGACCAAATTGTTCATGAGACAGAGATACTGTTGACTTTCAAGAATAGGCTGGAGAGAGCTTTGGAGGGCTGCAAAGAGCCCCTTGTCATTGCCCAAAAGTGTCTCCTGTACAGGTGAGCATTCAAGGAGCCAAAAAAAGTCTAGGTAATGAACCTTTAACAAATAAGAAAGAAGACTGCAAACTGAAGGCCCACCTCTCTTTACAGTGGAGTCACAGTCTGATTTAGGTGTTACAGCACTGGGGAATGCGGAACTTTATCATCTTCTGTTCAATGCAGGCATTTGAACAATGTGGCTGATGGTTTTTCCTTTTTTCTTGTAGGCAGAAGCGAGTTGGGATTGACTTGGTGCATGATGAAGTGGAACAGGAACTGCTGAAGGAAGCAGAAGTCATTCAGGGGGTTATTGCTTTACTTGGACGTACATTGGAACAAACAAATGAGCAAATCAGGTGCAGAGGCAAAAATCATAATAGAACATTAATTAGATGAGAATTAAGACAGCCATAATACTGAGAAGTTGTAGGGTCAGGCTGAGCACAGGTCCTAAGTTACCTTCAATGCTAAACACTATCAGGAGGTCAGTCCCAATTCATACCACTCAATCAGTAGTGGTGAGAGGTTCTGCATGTAGAAGACAATGTACTTGCACTTTATCCTTGGTCTTCTCATGATCCAGACCTGTGCCTTTAATTTCAATGAGAATTGTACCATCAATTTATAGAAAGTCAGCTTCGTAGTGTAGATTTTTTGACTTGACAACTAAGAGTTCTTACACAAATATTTCTGTAACAGCATTTGAATTACCTAATGCTTGTATGCATGCATATTAAGGACACCTGTGAATGCCTACACTTGGTCTGAGTTTGGTTGTTTTTTCTCCTAGACGAAACCGTTCAGCAAAATACAACCTGGATATGGATCTGAAGGACAAATTCACAGCTTTGACAATTGATGATTACTGTGCTAGCTTGACAAATGACACTCCTCATATTATATATGCTGATAATGCAATGAAACTAGAAGGAAAGTAAGTGGTTCTTTAGTTCAACAAACATATGGTAATTATACAGATAATATGGGATGTCCCAGTAATAGCAAGATTTGTTTTGTGTAAAACAAGCTTTATCTTTTTGCCATTTAATTGTTTCTTATACTTCTGTCCATCACCTTTGTATCTGTGAAATGTGTCTGTGAAATAAGCCACAATAATTATGCTCCCAGTGAACTACAGTTTTTTAAAAGTTTTTGAAGCTCACAGTTAGCAAAGAAAGAATTTTACATATTGCTTAAACACAGAATAGATTTACTGATCTTAACTTCTTTCTTCTCCCAGGGTGTCCCAGTGGGGAGAATACTGACTGGGACACATGAGGTGTCAAGTCAGTTTCTGAATCAGACATGAACCTGTCAAATGTGCCCATTCTGCATGGGTTAGTTAGTGTGAAAGGTTTAAATGGACAAATAGCTACCACAGAAGAATGGGCTGAAAAGGGGAACTATACTGAGAAAACAATGTTGCAAGCATCACAGAAGTCACTGTTGCTATGCAACAGCTAGCAAACTTGCAACACCAAGAGGCTGGCAGCTCTTGCTGCCAGCACCAACGACAGGATATGTAACTCGGACCACACCCAGGATGGTTTTGCCTGCTATGTGCAAATGACAATTATATCTTTATATATTCACCCAATGAAACAAGGAATGAACCCTCTGGGGAACTTTCCAAACACCTGCGTGCAAGCCAAAGCTGCACAAGGATGACCCTCTAATTCTGGGGATATAGTTGGGGCTGGGCTTCTCAACTATTGTTCCAGGCAGGTACTGTAAGTGTCGTATAGGTGAACTGTGTGAGAGAATAAGTCTCTGTGTTGTGTAAATAGCTACCTGCTATTAATAGTAACAGCTTTAATAATGAAAGATGTTCTAAGAAATATTTGTTACTATGTGTGTTTCTTCCCATGATAATGCAATCGTTTGCCACGGGAAAAGAAAGTAATAGCAAGGCTGCTCTATCGCTCTAGCAAATTTGTTTTCATCCTACTCTCATCTACTTCATTACAAGATGATTGTGACAGAGTCTTTCTTTTGTATCTGTAGCACTCCCTGGACATATGGCACTTACTGGGACATGCAGTTAAAAGTACTGTGTTGTTCTTGATTTTGTGGCATAATTACAGATTTATGAAGTCATAGAGGGCCTGCTGCTGTCTGTTGGTGACCTTTTATTTTGAATCTCTTTCAGTTTTGTTAGCCCTGAGGACTGGATAGATTTCTCAAACATAAATGTTGAAAAGGCTGACAAGCAGCGAAACAATTCTTTGGCACTGAAGGCACTTATCAATAGCATCCTCTCACAGACAGCAAATGACATGCGTAAGCAATGTGAGATGGTGAATAATGCTTTTAGAAATAGGGTGAAGGAAGTCAAGGATGCCAAGCACAAGCTAGAGACACTTCTTGCAATGGTAAGTCATAGGAGACAGTCAGTGAAAAAGTGGAAACACGGGGCTTGGGTTATCTGCCAGCTGTTTCCCATCCCTGTGGGTTGCACTTATCTGCCACATTTTCATTTTTGTTCCCTTCTCTGTAAAAGTAATTGTAGATTTTTTTTTCCTCAGCTCTGTGTTTGTGCCACTACAGAGATGAATTTCTGGAGTCACTCATTCAATCTAAATGTTGCTGTAGCCATCAGTAAAGTCAGGATTTTCCTCATGATTTTTAGTTGCATGAGGCTCCTATAGCTTTTTCAGGATTGTGATATAATTGATAACAGCAGGGTCAATGTGCTCAAAATTTGATGCATGAAAACTGAGTATTAATATTAAAAATTAATTGCTGAGCATAAATTTCTGGGTTCACTCAGAATGGTGCCATCTGCTTTCCAATGAAGGAATCATACTCCTGGCTAAGCTTTGCAAAATATAATTTGATGAAACAACAACATAGTGAGTGTTACTGTGATTGTTACAACTATTAAAGACGATGATGATGATGATTTCACACATTGTAAGAGATGGTGTGCAGAATTTCATGGTTGGATTTGTTAAGGTGATGGATGAGACTGCCTCACAGGAGAAGAACATTGCAGCCTTAAAGAAAGCAATTGCTGATAAGGAAGGACCTGTAAAAGTGGCTCAAACCCGCTTGGAAGCGAGGAACCATCGCCCCAATGTGGAACTGTGCTATGACACAGTGCACAGCAGTCTGATGCGTGAAGTTCATGAGATTACCAAAAATATTCAAAGGCAAGTGGAAATGATGCAAGAGGAAAATCTGTGGTACTGGTTAATTTAATGTGTCAGCATAACAATGGGTCCCAACTATTCTCCCTGAAAATTGAGAATTGGTTTTCTCTTAAGGGCAGGACACTTTAAGGGAACTTAATGAATAGGCCTTAAGGGAAGATAATAGATATTGTCTCTATGAATCCCTTTCCATCTTTCTTTTTCTTGCACAGAATTCCTAACCCTTATGAGAAAAAGAAACCTATCCATGTGTTTTCAACTAATGCCTGCCTCTATTTTCCCTATTAGATTAAAAGATGCATTGGCACAGGCTGAGATAGAGTTGAAAGGCCTGAGCCGCCGACAGCTTTCCTTGGAGGAAGAGATCAAGGTCAAGGAGAACACACTGTACATTGATGAAGTGCTGTGCATGCAAATGAGAGAGTCTGTTTGTATAAACAATTACTGAAGTCATTATACTGGGAGACTGTGCTCCAAAGAACCAGCTCCTGCTGAAATTTTATTGACAAACTTCCAAATGTATTGGCTTGGCTCAATGCTGTCTAGTTGTGCAAGGTAATTAAAAGAGACCTAGTACTTACAGCTATTTGTTTCAGAACTATCTGTGCTCTAAAATGTTTGATGAAATCTTCTGCTTGGCAATAAAATTCCAGAATGAGAAATGCCCCTTCTTCCATGCTTATCTCATGTGTAACCAATGATACCTTTTGCTATTGAAAGGTGTCAAAAGACAACTGTGTGGAAGCCAGAGCAGGGGTGTCCTCATAAATCACTTATTGGAAAGCTGGGCAAGTGGGAGGGATGTCTCTCAGGACTGGCCATGCGATGTTTTGTTTATCTTAGCATCTGCTGCTAAGAGCTAGACAGTATGGCCAACTTAACAGTACCTAACTTATCTAAGTGATACACTAGATAGTGTATCTGTCTGCATCTGAATTAAGATCAAATCAAGGCTGACTTTGGGAAAATCACTTGCTCACCCCATGGTAAAGTGTCTGAAGCTCTACCATGAGAAGTGCTGAAAAAAGAGGAGGGTCTTCTTTTTATCAGAGATACCTGTAAGGATGGAAAAGAGATCACTACTTCCTTTGGTTCTGGCAAAGAAAAAGCAAGGGCAAGAATACATAATGCTGGAGACAACGAGTCCAGTTCCCAAGTCAAACATTTTAATGCATGGAGTTTAAAATTGTCCCTTGCCTCTCTCTTGCTGGAATGATAACTCCCTTTTGGAGGCACTGCTGTCAAAATTCAAATCCCTTACTAAAGCCCTCCAAAGGATCTGTTAATGCAGATGTTACTGGGTGTTCTTTCTCTTCCTGTAGTTTACACCATTGGGTAGGTGATGACAAAATAATTCAGTTCTGAGTCAATCAGGTACTTGAATTTCCTGTAAATATCAGCCAGCAATCGCTCCTCCTGAGTGCTGTCATCTTGGGCTGTATAAATCCTGACCTGTATGCACAAACAGTAGTCATGTCTCTCAGATATAGGGAGCTCAACCCATTACAACTCACAGCAACAAGAACCATCTGTGGCTAATAAGGAATCTGGAGAAGTAAAATTCCTTGAATTGGAATAGAATCTTGAGGCTTTACTCTCTTCCCACTCCCAGCTGACTGAAAATATCATCTCCTGCCAAAGAACTTTTGGGAGGTGTTGGGAGGAATGGGTTAAATAGTAGAAGACTAGCAAGAAGGATTGTGAATCACTCAGGTGACCTTGCAGATGGGAGTAGCTCTTGATAACCCAGTATGAGCATCAGCCAGTGATCCTCTGGCATGGACTGAGTTTAACTGTGCCTCTATCTCCACTTGTGTGTGTATCTGCCTGGGGGTTGCTTTGGGGATGCCACAGTGAGCAAAAGAAGGGAAATAAATTTACTTTTTGTCTTTTAGCTGTGGTTTTGTGGTTGTCCCAGCTGTGTGCCTGTGCTGGCTCAGACGGGAAGAACAAGATTCTTTTTACCCCCAGAACTGATGCATCCCGAGGATCTGCACAGATCTGTGAGGACCTACTGAATTGAGATTGCAGCACAGAAAGTAGCACGTCAGCATTGTTTACCATAGCTACAGTTGTGGCCTGGCCGCAGTTCAACACAGGGCCTCTGAAGGGTGTGATGTGTTTATATCTTTTTGCAGTTTAGTGGGATTCAGTCCACCTTCCTTGGTTTAAGCATAGACATAAGCACTGAGCCTGAGAGGTAACTGAGAAACCCTGCAAGTGGGAAAAGGCTTGAACTAGAGGTGACAGTCTAGGAAGGGCTTCTGGAATTTTTGGGACTTCATAATAAACTTCTAGAGTATCTGTATGTGGCTAAATAGGGTTGGAAAGCCCCCTTTCTATGAGTGGCTCCCAAGCTCTTTAGTACTAAGGCATAACATAGGGAAGATTGTTACAGTAACATTTCTGGATGTGCTCTTTGCCTGGTAATGGGGACCTTTGGGTATAGGATAAAAAATGGGAATAGGATTTTTGAAGCACAAAGTCTTACCTTTATGGTAGTCAAAATGCATTTCCTTTCTGCACGGTTTTGTAGCAGCCTTTCCATAAAGCTGACACTTAGAAATGCCCAGACTTTCAGAAATAACAACCTCTTGCATGATAAGATAAGCTGTAGCAGCTCATTGTCCAGCAACTCATGGTCATTGTTTAATTCAAGTGTTAATTTCTTGAAAAAAAAAAAATGAACAGTTAGTACTACTAAACAGATGTTGCATGCAATAACTAGAATTCAACAAATAGTTTTCCAAGTTAACCAACAAAAATGTCAGCAGATCAATTTTGTACCTTGATATTAGCTGAGGATCTGTTTTGCATTATGACAACAGTGTATGTGCTAGAGTAAATCATTCTCCTCTTAAGATGGGGTGATCCCTTGTGCATTTATTAGAAAACGCTGCACCCACAGTCATACCATGAACTTTTCTGACATAATGAAAATTATCCCAGAGACAAGAGTGGAGCCAATGATGGTTTCTGGAAAGCTTTACATATCTGTGGTGTTTATTGGCAACTCTGCAATGGAACAGGCCTTACAAAAAGCTGTCAGCAACCGTCAGATGTAAGGCCACATGTTTCCCTCTGGCATGCAAAGACCTGATGCTCACTTACATGGGTCAGCTGTTACAAACCTTTGATGGCACATCCCTTGTGACACCGAAGTGCTTTGACAGGGGCACTAGTTAATTTAGATGTGCTGTAGGACATTTGTGCATTGCCAAAATACAGCAGCCTGATAGCATTAATGGAAGGTTATAATCAGACAAGGATAATATCATTGACGACATTATGGGTGAAACACTGAAATTATTCACTTATGAAAACTGCCCTCTGAACGTAAAACTGAAGCAGTCAGGAACTTCTGTTGCTGACTGCTGTTATGCAGAAGGCCTACATGATTACTTTGTTTACCTTTGTGATATTGCAGTAGGGTATCTCTATTTATCCCTTACCTGCAGAATATGCCAATAAGCTGGGAGAAGGTTGGTGAGGGTAGGTCTCATTGTCCAGTCTGGGTCACTAAAATAACAGCTCCGTAGGCTGATGCTCCTGACTGGGATCTCTTCTAGCAGGATCCTAGCTAGGTGATCATGCTTCATGACTCTTTCAAAGAAGAAGTTCACATTCAGTTTTGGGGCTCTCTTGGCCAGATTTGCCCATGACATTCCTGAGATCACTTGCCCATGAGGGTCATGAATATGACACTTGATATTCAAGGTGCACAGGGAATGAGAGTTGTGCTCCCGCAGGATGTCCAGCAGTTCATCCGAGATGCAGTTATAATTGAAAGTCAGGATGGTCAGCCGGTGGAACTTAGACATAGTTTGGTGGAACAAGGGACTGCTGTAGACAGAAAGGTGGAGACTGAAGAAATCCTCAATATTGATTTCAGATATAAAGCTTCTATTTGTCAAGCTGCTTAGAGAATTCAGAAGCTCACAGCCTTCTTCCAAAGTTATTCTTGCTCCTTTTAAGTTAAGATAATCAAGTTGATTGCTTATTCTTTTCAGGAAGGCAGCTAAGTTCTTGATAAACTGAGCCCTAACCACATTTTTCCAGGTCAAGCAGTCTAATTCTAGGTACTTGATACTCAGGGATACTAGGTGACTATTACACTTACCCAGGTGTGAAAGAAGACCTCCCATAATCACGTGGAATTTTTTGATAAAGGGAGAATTGTAAGGACTCGATAACTTGATCTCAAGGTGCTTCAAATATTTGCCAAATTTCTTGGTATACCACAGTGCACTTTGAAACTCCAGTGTGCGTGCCCTTGATGGTTGGCCATAGAAGGTGATGGTTCTGCATCTCCAGAGAGATCCAGAGTTCATGGTGCAACTCCATTTTTTACAGACCAAGGCAGCCCGAGATCTGTCCCTGTCATCTAACCAATGGAAGACATGCCTCAGACAGACATCAGGTAGATAGGCCCAGGAGCTTTGCTCGGGTTCACTGTCATCTTCCATTGAGAGGACTTCTCTTCTGGGTCTTAAATAAAACCAACATGCAGAAAGCTGTGGGTAGATTTCTTGCCAATCCCAATGTAATAGGCTTCTAAACAAATGGATGAAAGTTTGTTTCTTCACAATCAAAACCAACAACGCTTTGCCTCTGTACTCCAGCTGCCAAACAAGCCCTTGAGTCTAAACTATAGTCTTACCTAAATCAAAAGAAAAAAACAAAGCATGAAGAACAATCGCAGTACAAGCACAAGACACATCTTTTAACTTTTTGCCCTTCACCTTCAGTCTAGCTAAACAGTGAAATGGTATCAATTGCTGCTACAGCAGCCACACCGTCTGCAAAAACCTTTGGTTAGCATCAGCTGCAATTAATTGATCATGATCTGTGGTCTGATGCCTAGCATTCAAAAGTACTCAGTTCTTCGGGCTGTATACATTTGAACAGGACCATCAGTGCAAAATTAGCACTAATGACTTTTCATAGTCTTCTGGAGTACTATTTCATGACAATTAATACTGTGCCTTAGATTAAGGCTGGATAAAAAAAGTTGAAATTTGTGGAAGCAAGAAGTGCACCATAAGAACACGGATGCCTGCAGAATCTGTTTACAACTACAGTTCC